TTAACACATTTCAGTTTTAATTGGCACATGGCAAGCTTCCTTCCGAGGTGGCTGAGTGTGCTTTCTTCACTACTCGACGAAAATCTAACAAAAATACGACGAGCAGGCAAGCTGCTGCTGAAGGCAGAGCTGAGATGTAAGAAAGGAGCAGAGCTCCTCGTTACAGGCAGCAGATCCAGAGTTTGATCTTCAAGAGCGGAGGGGAGAAGCCTTCAGACGTTACAGCTCAAAGCTCCACACGACAAGGTGGATACGTGCATCTCACCCCAGCATGAACAGCTCCTCCCTACAGGCCACCCTGAAAAACGTGGCTGCAAAGACACCACCATGCTTTCGTGGCACAATGCGCAAGAGGTTGACTATGGTTTTATTTAACCTCTCATTCATTCAGTAGTTTGGCTGGGGTTTTCTTCTGTCTACACCTCCCCTCTTTTGATTTCCATTGCATCCTAACAATAATTTTGATTGTAATGGTTCATTTTTTCTTTTGCATTGTCTTCTAAAGATGACACACCTCTCCAGATCCTTAACCTCAATGCCACACAGGCTTTAAACAAATCAGAGTTATATTTTTTTGTATGTCCCATCTTTCGCAGTATCTTCTGACACAATGCTTGAATTTTTCAAGCCCCATCAAAAAAAAAAAAAAAAGAAGGCAGAAAGCTTTTCTTCTTCCACAGAATCACATAACAGTTGAAGTGGGAAGGGACCTCTGGAGGTCATCTGGTCCAACACCCTTGCTGAAGCAGGATCAGCTACATCTCTGGCTGTTCAAGACCACGTCCAGATGGCTCCTGAATGTCTCCAAGAATGGAGACTCCACAGCCTCCCTGGGCAACCTGTGCCAGTGCTCGGTCACCCTCACAGCGAAAAGGCTGTTCCTGACGCTCAGATGGAACCTCCTGGGTTTCAGTTTGTGCCCGTTGCCCCTGGTTCCTGTCACTGGGCACCACCAAAAAGAGCCTGGCTCCATCTTCTCTGCAGCCACCCTTCAGGTACTTACATTGATGAGATTCCCCCCGATGCTCCTCCTCTTCAGCCTGAACAGGTCCAGCTCTCTCGGCTTTCCTCACAGGAGAGCTGCTCCAGTGCCTTCATCACCTTCGTGGCCTTTCACGGGACTCTCTCCGCTACATCCATGGCGCTCTCGTATCGGGGAGCCCACAGCTGGACATGGTACTCCAGGCGAGGCCCATGCAGAACACAGGGGGAGGATCACCTCCCTCAACCTACTGCCAACGCTCCTCCTAACCCAGCCCAGGACACCACTGGCCTTCTTTGCCACAAGGGCCCATTTGCCCGCTCACAGCCAACTTGGTGTCCACCAGGACCTCCCAGGTCCTTTCCTGCCAAGCCGCTTTCCAGCGGGTCAGCCCCCAGCACGTGCTGGTACCTGGGCTCGTTCCTCCTCGGGTGCGGGACTTCTTGTTGAACCATCAGCCCATTTCTCCAGCACGTCGAGGCTGTGTTTCCTCTATAGCCAGTAAATGGATTATAATCCAGTACCTAGTCAGGCTTTTAGTACTGTACAAGGATTATTTTGAAGGAATGAGATCAATCATCCACACAGACAGACACAGATTTGGAGGTAAGCAATTGCAGTGAAATACCTGAACCTTTACAGGATCAGCAGACAAGATCTATGCATGTTAATCTTTCACCATTTCATTTAAGCTTTTCTTAAGCTTACTTATTTTCTGCATTCCTGAGGAAAATCAGGGCACTAAACCGGCCACTTTAGTTAGAAAAACACCAGCCATTATCCACTATCTGGTAAAAGTTTTGTAGACAAAAGAAAAACCAACGTTTCATTACAAGGAAAGGCATGACGTATCCAATTCAACAGCGTAACAATAGTTTGGAACCTAGCAACTCTCCTGCTTTAGCTCAGCTGGTGAGACAGGCACATCTCTGACTTCCGACTATTATCTGCCTTCTTTCAACAGCAAGCTAAATTTGGAGTGCAGGTAGGAATGAGGAGTTATTATCTTTGTCATCAGGGACACAGGAACACACAGATTCCCAATTAAAATGGATTTGGAAGGAGACACAACCAACTGCCAAAATATACTTGAGGGACATTTGACATCTTTGCATCTTACAACACTAACAACGAAACTTGCTGCTACGGGAAAAGCATTTTCTATGAACTCCACTTGGCTGCGTGGTTGTAGAATTCCCTTCTACCAGCCCGGTAACACACAACAGACCCCTACCACCTTTAGATTTACTCAAAAAACTCTTTCTTTGAGAAGTTCTACACTGGTTGCTTAACAGACATGTCTATCAAGGTCTCCTCTGGAACACAACCAAATAGTACTTGAAAAGCAACAAAAAAAAAGAAGCCAAGCCAAAATATGGTACTGGTCCTGTGAGTCACAGCTGGAAATATGTTTTTCTCTTGGAAAAGGATTCAAACCAAACACTTTGGAAAATATTCTACAGCAGCTTCCATCAGAACTATCTTGGCATTTCACGTCATCACAGAACTAAGTGGTCATCTGACAGTAGTCAAGGGATTCTACCAGCTACACAATTAAGGATTGGAATAATTTAAGTGTCATTCACCTCTACACCCTAGTAACTATTTTTTTCAACAAAGAAAAGTCATCTTCCTATTTACAAGAATATATTGAGTAAAAACAGAAAACAGGTACACAAATATATTACTACTTTGCATATTAATAGTATGAACCTAACAGCATTCCTACAAATCAAGCCATTTTCAACGCTACACGTGGGGACATAACCATGAAATTCAATTTACCAACAGACAAAATATGTTATGATGCAACAACTGATGATGTAAGATGAAGTGACCTGAAAACACTAGCATAACTCAAGCTGTCAGTGCACAATTTTGCTTTTCAGAAACTACTTGTACCTTACCTTTGTTCTGCTGTATTTGCATGAGTCTCCAAGTCACGCCCAGCAACCTGTTCACCTGCTTGCTATTGAGCTTGCTGCCATCCTGAAGAGTATCTGTCACAAATTTCCTTATCATGTCCAGCCAACCAGAATCCATCTGAAGCGTTGAAGCGCTTGCTAGTGAAACCATTATGTCACACAAGGTTAAGTTCAGTAGAAGATGGTCTACGCTGTTTGAGGATGTCATACAATACTTGTTGCTGGGGGCGAAGAAAGAAAAGAGGGAGATTTTTTAAAAACAAATATTTTGTGTCTTTTAGTATACATTACTTTGGCAGAAAGTAGACTATGTAGAAAAAAAAATTCTAAGTGTTAAAGTTTTAAAGCCAATACACATTTTAGAAGTCTTCACATTTGACATCTGGATACGTGAAATTCTTTGTTCTGCCACCAAAATACCCGTTTCTCATATTTATAGCAGCAGCAGCAACACTCAAAGCTCTAGATTGTATCTCTATGGCTGGTTTCTCCCGCTTGGCATTTTTACTGGGGCCTAGCAGCACTTGCAGGCAACTGAAACCAGTAAAGGAAGGGTGAAAAATTCAATCCTTAGTTTCAGTCTCTTCTGTGTTTCTTCTGGGAGGAATCACACAGATTTTGTCATTATTACACAACGACAAAAAGCACCATGGCCAGCACAGAGAACTCCATTTATGTACTTTTTTCCAAACGCATGTGGAATCAGAAATACATTTTTCACCATCACGGTATTACACAGGACCACCCTGTTGCCCTACAGAGGTTCAAAAGACAAAATTAAGGGATATTAAGAGAGGAACCAATGGTATTGCAGCTTGAAATACAATGGTACAACTTCTCTACTCGCTGATTAGTCACTCTCAGTGTACAAGAAAAAAGTGACAGCATTTACCTACGGAGGGCTGCACAACATGAATGCCTACACTGAGAACACAAGGTAGAGCTGTGGAAACAAAACGACAAAAAGCAGTTCAGCCTGCACTAACGTAACCGCAGCGACCCTTCAGTTCAGAGCCAACCATCACAACACGAGCAAACAAACCTCAACCTGTCGACATCCTTGACACACGGCATAAACGCTAATAACTTTTTCATGGTCAGAGTATGTAGATCCCAAGCACTACCAGTAATACTGTGGTAAGTTCCTGCAACATTTTGCAAACCGAAGAAGGAAGGAAGCCTCGAGATGCCACGCAAGGTTTCCAAACGCAAGCCTTTAACCCCATATATTGGTAAGGAAGGAAAACAAAAGTAACTATTTTTATTGTCACGGCATGAAGCTAAGTTTCCAGAAGTCTTGAAGTAACAGTCAAAGTAAAAGCACGTTAAAAAGTTTCACGTTTTCCCTGCTGTACCCAACAATATATATAAAGTGCAAGAATGGGGCAAAACTTAGTAGCAGAGTGAAGAAGGATCAACAGAAGTACGGTTCGTCAGGAGCTCCCCTACAAGATGAGAAAGACAAGCCTAACTACTAATCCTGAGATTTTCAGTTTCAAGGAAGGGTGTTCAGGTCAAAACCTGGAAAACTAAAACAGCTTTTGGCTTTATGAACTTAACGGGTGAGAATGAGCTGAAATGAAAGCCTTTAACAAAGAGCTCTGCTGCACTTCTGATCTACGTGCCCTTCCAGGAAGGGAAAATGCCACAGTCAAGATATCAAACAGGATTTCAGACTCAAATACACCCACACCATGGCAGACTTTCAGTATAAAAAGAAGTCCTTCTACTACTGCGGCTCCATCTGTAGTGGCACAACTTGCAAGTCTTTGAAACCCAGACAGAGACTGGTTGATCCCCCTGTCCCTGCAGCAGCGTCCTGCAGGGACTGCAGTGGCACAGAACGACTCCAGAACAGACTGTGTGTGAGTAGAGCCTCACATCTGGGAGCTGAGGGGGGAGACAACCTGCTACTGGCCTGTACCAGAATAAAACTGGTGCACCTGATCTGACAGCTCAACAGTGAAGAAATCCGTGAGTGTTTGGCCTCCCCTGCTGCAGTCCTGGCTTTGCCATACAGGACAGGCACAACGTGTCCCATCTCCCCTCCCAGCTGTATTTATCCAGCCCTGTAATACAACTATAAAAGAGCAGATGTGGGTGAAAAAACAAGTTTTAGCTATGTTTTGATGTAATTCATGCAGAAATATGAAACCAGTCAGACTAACAGAAATCACCACTCAGCAATATGCAAATCCCAGATCAAGTGTTCAATAAAATACTTGCATTTCTCCCTAAGACAGCATTTCAGTTTCTACTGGAGGCTATTCAGATGACTTCCTATAGTGTATTTTTACAAAGTACAATCAAAACTTCTCAATTCAAAGCAATGCCACCTTCCTGTAAAAACCTCTCTACCGATCTTCAAGGAATACACAATAAAAAGTTTTCTTTTCCAACATTAAAAACTTAATAGTGGATAAAGCATATGACTCGCATTGTCTCACTTATCTTGTGAAATTAAAAGCTGTAACACGACATTGATTTTATTCTTACCCTTTGCACGAATCTTTCTTTTTGTGCTTTACTGTTTCTTGTAAAGAATAAGGAAAATGACGCATGAAGTGGTGCTTGAAATCAACAAGGTAATTCATTCGAAGCCACAGCTCCTGTTAAGGGAAGCAGGTGATAAGACAGAAAACATGGTAGTAAGCGAAATGCATCAATACAATCATCTGCCAAAATCCATTATTGGAATCAATGAAAAACAGGAACTTCAGCTTCTATTTGCAAGTTTTCCTACACATTTACATTCGGGTCTCCATGTGAAGTCCTAGGCGTGAACCTGAAGGTCCACAAAACGAGGGAGTAAAACCCTAAGTCAAGGCTGAGCAACAACGTTTAACCCAAACTGGATCAGTGTAATTCCTAGCACATATTAATGCAGATACACACAATACTAAACCAAGTGAGTTACAGATGTGAATTGGAAGTGCTTTTAAATCAATTTATCAGGATACTTTAAACCAGAGTGAACTCTGATTTACTGGCAGTGACTGTCCCGAGTTTTCCATTACGACTTATTCTGACACACCCTCATCTTTCCCCATCGTTGCTGTACTTGTAGTTCAAAGCCCACTGACAAAATGTTTTCCAGTAGCCAGGTCACCCTTACAGAAAAAGGAGTCTTTTTGATAGTCAAAAATAAGTTTACTTTACGGGTTGGCAGACAGTCGCAGTCACCATTCCACAAAGCGCCCAGCAGAACTCATCACAAAATAAAGGCTGCATTGCTATCAAACTGGTGAGACTGCATCACCTTTTTGATATTCAAATATAAAGAACAGAGAAGGACCGTTAAACTATTTAAAAGATTAACAGGCTTCCACTAAGCATATTCAGAGTGGTTTTCCAAAGTGTCTGTAATAACCACCATGGCCTGTAAGCCCAAGGGCTATTTCAGCAAAGCTTCCATTTTCAAACTGAGCCGTTTGAATGTATTTTATATACAAAGGTGACTGTACAGGAAAATAAAAAATAAACTGTTTAGCTTATCTAGAACATGATATGTTAAAAAAACCCAGTTGTCTGGACATCAGATTTTTTTTTTTTTCTCCACAAAACACCCTAAGCTCATAACACAACTGCGTGTCCCCAAACCAGCTCGCATGGGGACACAGCAGCTCTCCTCTCATGCGACCAAGCGCAGGCCCCCTATGGCTAAGGGCAGCAGCTCTGCAGGACCCTGCAGAAAAAGGCACGGGGCAGCAGGCTGCCACACACGTTCACCTGGCCAGCTGCCTGCTCCCTGCCTGCTGCCAAGAGGCCCCCTAGAAAAGATGAAGGGGAAAAAGGGGAACAGTGTGTTTGGCTCAGATACACAGCCCGAGGGATGGATTCAGTGTCTGTTGGGTAACACTGGTCTAATGGAATGATTCCAGGTGTTTTCCTATTATTCTACGCGTAGATTTTTGTTTAGCAAATGGACCTACAGTCCTACACACAGGTAAAACCAAGAGCTGTCAAGA